TTTGTGGAGGGGAAGGGGAAAAACAAATCATTTAAATAGGGATATAGGTGGACCCATTGCAACAATGAGATGTACAAGTCGTTATGTCGAAAATGAACTTTACAACTTTGCGGGGGACAGGGCGAGGAGGATTGGGTGGGGGGGGGCAGGGGGAAGATGGGAAGGGATGGGAAGGGGAAACAAAGGAGGAGGCTACAATGCTTAATAAGAAATGTACTCATTATCTTGCCCATGTAATTGTAACCCCTCTGTACAGTATTTTCACAATAAAAAAAAATAATTAAAAAAAAAAAGGCCAGGCTGGAGGAGATAGAACACTAGCTGATCAACTGCACTATGGTCAAAGGCTGTCACAAATAAAAATGCAAAGCCCTATCTGAGAAATAAAGAAAGCAAAAAATAGCTTGAGGTGTGGCTCAAGTGGTAGATCACCTGCCTAACAAGTAGAAGCCCTGAGTTCAAACTCAAGTACTACCAAAACATAAGAAGGAATTCTAGGAAGTGGAGCTATGTTCAAAGTGATAGAGAGCTACCCTTGAGCAAAAGAGCTCAGGAATACTGCCCAGGCCCCAAGTTCAAGCCCCACAACAACAAAAAATTCTCTATTTAAAGAATCATGCCAGGTACCAGTGGCTCATACCTGAAATCCTAGCTACTAAGGAAGCTGAGATCTGAGGATCGTGATTCAAAGACAGCCCAGGAAGGAAAGTCCTTGAGACTTTTATCTCCAATAAACCACCATAAAGATGAAAGTAGAGCTGTAGCTCAAGTGGTAGAGAACTAGTCTTGAGGGGTTGGGAAGGTGGCTCAGTGGTAGAGCGCTTGCCTTGCATGCATGAGGCCCTGGGTTCAATTCCTCAGTACCACATAAGCAAAAAGAAAAAAAAACGGAAGTGGTGCTGTGGCTCAAGTGGTAGAGCGCTAGTCTTGAGCTGAAGAGCTGAGGGACAGCACCCAGGCCCAGACCCCCCCCCCACCAAAAAAAAGAACTAGTCTTGAGCAAAGAAGCTCAGGAACAGTGTCCATGTCCTAAGTTCAAGCCCCAGGACAATTAAAAATAAAAAAAAGAATCTCTACTTGGTGTCAACAATTATGCCAGGTATGTTATCTGTATTATACCTAATCTCCATCCACAGAAAAAAACCTTTGAAAATAGAAACTATTCTGAGACAATATGTAGGACAGATCTCTGTTTAATTTTGCTTTGTTCTGATTTTATTCAAAAACTTCAGCACTTGACATTTTTCCACTTAATATTTGGTGAATTAAAATTATTAGTCAGATCATACTTTGGAAGTGCTTATTGTATTTTCTTAAAAATTGTTATCACTAAACTATTAGTATTATATTAGTTTCTCAAAATCAAATCAGTGACTCTTTAAAAGTCATTTAAACATGTACAGTATAAGTTCAAAGGTTTTACACAATCAAAATTTTCCATTTTCGGGCTGGGAAGGTGGCTCAGTGGTAGAGCACTTGCCTTGCATGCCCAAGGCCCTGGGTTCGATTCCTTAGCCCCACATAAGCAAAAAGAAAAAAGCCGGAAGTGGCGCTGTGGCTCAGATGGTAGAGTGCTAGCCTTGAGCTGAAAAGCTGAGGGACAGTGTCCAGGCCCAGAGTTCAGGCCCCACGACCAGACCAAAAAAAAAAAATTTTCCATTTTTCATAGCCTGATTTCTTGGTGTGAGTCTATTTATAAGAAATTATCTGGGGGCTGAGAAGGTGACTCAGTGGTAGAGCGCTTGTCTTGCATGAATGAGGTCCTGGGTTCAATTCCTCAGCACCACATAAGCAAAAAGAAAAAAAGCCAGAAGTGGCGCTATGGTTCAAGTGGTAGAGCGCTAGCCTTGAGCTGAAGAGCTGAGGGACAGTGCCCAGGCCCAGAGTTCAGGCCCCAGGACCGGACCCAAAAAAAAAGAAAAGAAATTATCTGTCAGAACAGTTACCCAGTAAGAGAAATAAAAAGTATATTAAATGCTTAATGTTTTCCTATGTGAATGAATAAAAGCATAGCAAGTTACAATGTCTATGAAACAGGAAATAACAGACATTCATCCTAAGTAGCATGAGCAATACTAAAATAGTTCATTTTAATTAATATTTTTGGTGTGTGTGTGCTGGTCCTGGGACTTGAACTCATGGTCTGGATGCTGTCCCTGAGGTTTTTTTGTTCAAGGCTAGTGCGCTACCACTTGAGCCACAGCTCATGGCTTTTTGGTGGTTCACTGGAGGTAAGACTCTCACAGACTTTCTTGGCCAAGCTGACTTTGAACCGTAATCCTCAAATCTCAGCCTACTGAGCAGTACAAACCACCAGCACCTGGCTGGAATAATTTATTTTAAAATGGTCTTTTGGGGTAGGGCTAGGTGTTGTGTTGCATACCTATAATCCCAGCCTTTCCAGCCCTGGGAAGGCAAAGGCAAAAGCACTATGATTCTTAAGGCTAGGCTGGGATATTTATGGAACCCCTCAGCTCAATAAACAAACAAATAAAACAACAACAAGAAGCAACTATTCATTTTAGATTGTTACTAATTGAGACCAAATAGTAGATACTAACAGAAGAAATGAAGCTGACTTTGATAGACTATTAGAAACATCACAAGTAGAAGTGTCATCAATTGTGTTATTAATATTGTGGTAAAATAATATATCGATATTAAGAACTCAAAAGAGAGAAAGAGAGATGGTTTTTGGAACATGTGGAAAAAATATAGTAGGCAGAAATATTTCCAAAGGGAATATGGAAGTCTGCTTTTGCTGTTCTATATTATTAATCCGCATTAAGCCTAATAGGAAAAGTTTCACAAAGGAATCTGAGTAGCTCATTCTTTTCAGAATTTCAGAAATATACAAAAAGAATGATCCCTAGCATCCCAAACCATGCATCCATGTAAAAATTAACCACAATTAAATGCAGTGTCCAAAGCAAACTGAACTGCCAAACACTGGAAATTCTCGAAGAATTAAAATGCTGTGCGCACATGAGAACACCAAAAACTCCACAAGCTCAGCAACAATCTTAGTGCCCATCATCCTTTCCATCTGGAGAACCCCACAAGAACATCCATGCCAGAGACAGGAAATTCCATGCAAACCCCACAAGCAGGTGTACCAGCATTTATCTTTGGGAAGGAAATGCCAAGAGGAGTTATTCACGTAAGAATTTGTGTTTGCTTACCTAGCCAGATTTTAATAGCATATTCAAAATAAAAAGTAAACATCTGGCCACAGGAAAGTGTACATATATGTGTGTGTATAACATATATAAGTAGACATTTATATAGAACTTATACTATTTATATCATATGTCTATATGAAAAAGCATGATGAGAAAAGTACTAAGAGTACGGTTAACCCTTAATTTTCCCTCCCAAGTGCACCCACCAAATTCATACTATAAAAAGTTCTAATCAGGGGGGAGGCTGGGAAGGGATGGGAAGGGTAAACAAAGGAGGAGGCTGCAATGCTTGGTAAGAAATGTACGCATTATCCTGCCCATGCAATTGTAACCCCTCTGTACAGTATGTTCACAAATAAAATAAAATAAAATTAAAAAAAAAAAGTTCTAATCAATCTTCCCAATCACTTTCTGGCTGATATTTTGGAACAACCTCTATTGAAGTCAAAAAAGTTCAAAAGACACTCATTAACTTTAGCTTAAAAGTAAAAAATAATCTATGTTATTGACTGGGACGTGATTTGTCCCCAGAGTTTCCGTCCTGAGACTCGGTCTGAGCTTAAAGGCACGAGCTGGGCACCAGTGGCTCACGCCTGCCGTCCTGGCTACTCAGGAGGCTGACATCTGAGAGTCAACGTGCAAAGCCAGTGTGAGCAGGAAAATCCATGAGATGCTTATCTCCGATTAACCAGCAAAAAGCCAGAAGTGGCACAGTGGCTCAGGTGATAGAGTGCTAACCATGAGCACAAAAAGCTTAGGGACAGCAGCCAGGCCCTGAGTTGAAGCTGAAGTTGACTAGTACCAAAAAAAAAAAAAATAGGCAGCGCACAGTAGACGTGCTTAGGCTGGTGACATGTGGTGAAGGAACTTTTCGGAAGATAGAGAATGTCCAAAGTCCTGTATGGCCTATGCTCAATCAATGCACTCCATCACCTGCTCCTGCCGCAGCTGTATGAGCCCACCCTGAGGCTTCACCAGAGTTGACAGGATATTAGCCCCACGTCCCTGAACCACCAGAACTACAAGCAAAACCAATCTCTCTTTATAAAGTGACCAAGCTTCAGGCTTTTCATAACAGTGAAGAAGGGACTAATGCAGTCTACATGCTAACTGACATCTGTATGGCCTAGCATGGTCCCACTTCGCTTCCTAATAAATATAGTGCCCAAACTTAGGCCACAAGCACAATTTCAGATGGCTTTCTTTATATAACTATGAGCGGAGCCATGATGATTAGTCTAGTGAAAACCTTCAAAACCAAAGTTCAACCGACACACATTAAAAAGCAGCATGACACGAAAGGAGCACACAGAAGGCAAAATACAGAAATCACTTTCCAAGCCTGACTTCCTTTGTGGACAATGCATTCTTTTAGTTACATTTCAAACTGTTTTGGAAAAGTTGAGAGAGTGATACAACAGATACACTACCTGGCTTCCGAATCTGTGGATATTTTACTACAATACCTTCCTCGCCCTCCTCAACCTGTCCCCCATTTTCCCATCCCCTGTCCTCGCTGTCTGTCTTTTAATTCACCGAATAATTTACTATTAAGAAAGCCCCCTTAATACAAGTATACTTATACAAAAAAAACAAAAACAAATAAAGCTAAGAAAGATAAAGACTACAAACTCAGCTCAGAGGGAGCAAAGGAAAAAGTGGAAGTCCCCATGACAGAGAATTGGGGGAAGAGAGATACGCCATATAATCTACCATAAGACATATTCAACTTTTATATGCCAATTCCAAGATGCAATCTTTTTAAATTCCTGCAAAACTCTAGCTGTAAAGTAAGTTGATAAATAAAAGTGTACCCACCTTGGCTTCCGAAACGCCAAACTATACTGCTGGCAAGCTAGTCCCACGGTGGGGGTGTACACAATGGGCATGAACTTCTCGATGTCCGACAGCAGCACTCTATAGAAGAGCTTCTCGTTTCTGTCTTGAAGATCCATCAGGAGGAGATACCTGGTGAACAGGATATCAATGAGGAACAGAGCCAACAAGTCCTGAATTAAAACCATTCGATCAAGTTTAAATACTTCTCTAGCTGACCAACACCTCCTCAAGGCGGGCATGTTTGGGTAACCTGTAATCATAGCACTGAATTTCAGCACTGAGGCTGAAACAAGCGGGTCAGGATTTCAAGGCCAGCATGAAGACACTCAGTGGGAATCACCCAGGGCCAGGGAACTAGTGCAGTGGCAAAACCTTTGCTAGCCTACACGAGGACCTGGGCTCGCCAAGAGCTGGGGGTAGAACTCAAGGGCAGAGCGTTGGCCTAGCATGAGCAAGGCCCTAGGTTAAATCCTTAGCACTGGAAAAAAATATATAAACATCATAGAACAACTTCAAGCAGGTGTGAGGGCACACACCTGTAATCCCATCACCCATCGTGCTCAGGAAGGATGGCCGGTTCACCGGCAGCCTGGACCATGTAGTGAAACTGTGTCAAAAACACAGACAAGGCATGGTTCCAGTGGCTGGGCTCACTCCTGCAACACTGAATGGGGAGGATGGCAGTTCAAGTACAGCACAGGAAGAAACGTTCGAATGACCCCTCTCTCAACAGAGAGCTGTGCCTAGTGGAGCGTGTCTGCCATCCCAGCTACACATGGCAGACTGCACCCAGGCACAAATCACGCAGGAGGTAAGAGCTTGTCTTCAAATTAGCCAGGAAAAAAAGAAAAGAAAAATAACAAAAAAAAAAAAACAGGACTGAAGGCATGACTCAGTGTAAGAGTCTGCCTGCCAAGCTCCTATAGGATTCCAGCTCAAACTCTAGAACCTCAAAAGAAAAAAAAGAAAAGAAAAAGAAATTGGAAATATTGTAAAACATGTCAAAGAATGAAGAAACATAAACTTGCTTGCTATCAAACATGATAAACACTGCTGAAATAACAGCATTTCATTCAATGCTTAAAGAGACTTCATTCTTTTTTTTAGGTCAGTCGTGGGGCTTGAACTCTGGGCCCGGGAGCTGTCCCTGAGTCCCCGAGCTCTTCAGCTCAAGGCTAGTGCTCTACCACTTGAGCCACAGCACCACTTGTGGTTTTCCGGTGGTTAACTGGAGATTGTCTCACAGACTTTCCTGCCTGGGCTGGCTTTGAACCATGATCCTCAGATCTCAGCCTCCTGAGTAGCTAGGATGACAGGCTTGAGCCACTGACACCCAGCCATTCCTATTTTTAAATGAAAACCACAGAATATCACAGCATAATTTAAACTAAGTAAAAAGAAAACTTCATCCTTTTAATGACAAACCCAACTGATAGTTAGTATACATATATCATAATATAGTAATATATCACTTTAAAAATAGCTAATGTAGCCAGGTGCTAGTGAATCACACCTGTAATCCTAGCTACTCAAGAGGTTAAGACACTCAGTGGGATCACCATTCAAAGCCAGCTTGAGTAGGAAAGTCTGAGACTCTTATCTCCAATGAACCACCCCAAATCCAGAAGTGGAATTGTAGCTCAAGTGGTAGAGCACTTAGCTTTGAGCAAAAGCAGCTCAGGGATAGTTCCCCAGGCCCTGAGTTCAAGCCCTAGGATCAGTACCAATAAGTAAATAAACACATAATTAAGGTAGATAAACTGAAAAAGGACTTTTCTTACTGTGTGTATCTAAAGGCCTTTTTCTCTCTAGCAGCATTTCTGATGGACTCACCCTCACTCCCGGGCCTAGATGATTGCAAAGCCCAGCTCTCCACTCCAACGTAATAAGAAGCCACTTTCACCTGTTTTTCTCAGCGTAGTATGGCATTTGCTAATCTTTTATTGGTTTGCCGCCAGTACTGGGGCTTGAACTTGGGGCCTTGTGTTCTCCCTTGACTTTATCACTCAAAGCTAGTGCTCTACCACTTGAGCCACACCTCCCAGCTCCTGATCATTACGTTTGTAACAATTTCATTCCAAGAAAAAGGTGATCTCCCTGAGAATACAGTAAAGTTTTTTTGTTTGTTTGTTTTATTCAAATGTTAACTGTAGACTTCTTAAGCAACACTGTGTGTCAGCAAATTCTCAATGTTCAACTTCTCAAATCAGGGCCCAGGGAAAGGGAAAGGACAAGGACAGTTGGCCGAACCCCTGTTCAGGAAAGCGTCACCTGTCAAAGTCAGAGCTGAGGCGCTCGAAGTTCTTCACCACCCTCAGGAGTTGGATCTCCTGGGAAACGAAGCAGGGAGGCAGGAGCCCGTGGATGTTCAGCTGCTGCCTTTCCTCCAGCGAAAAGGCCAAGTCCTGAGGAGAAAAGAGAAAACACAACAATCGACCAAAGCCCTAAGGGAGGGGCCAGCATCTCCTTGTGACTCAGTGGGGCCTTCAGACCCTGTCCTCGTGAGGATGGAATTGGAGAACGGACGAGGGGGAACACTCCAAGAAGCACAAATGGAAGGCGATGCAGTACCACGAATGCCAGTAAATACAAAAATGAAGACGTACGATCATAGGCCGTAGCAGCCTGGAGGAGGCTGCCCATTGCATCACATCCTGCCTCCAGCCCTAGGGTCCACGCTCTTCTCTGCCCTCTTTGTGCTGTATTGCCAGTGTTCCTTCCTGGCCTCCTCATCTAGTGCAGTCTTCTCACTACATCTACACCGTAGCATGTGTCCATGAATTACCTAAAGTGCCTATTGTATAAAGTAACAGTACATAATAACAAACTATAGAGCTCAGAGCATGCAAACAATAGGAGCGACGGGTTGATGGAAAAAGTAAAACAAACGTAAGAGCTGTGCTGAGGATGAAAGGGAAGAAGGGCTGTGGAAGGGGCTGGGAGGCTGGGCAGGGCATTGCTTTAGTCTGGGCTCTGCTGGAGACTCTGAAGGCCAAGAAGCACCTTTGACTTGACAGCAGAGGGCGAGGCTCAGTGAGCGCCTCAGGCATGGGGATGCCTGGGTCTCCCGACAGGGCCACGTGGGGGTCTTGTCCTCAGACAATGTCACTACATTGGAGCTGTCCATCTGCCTCAGGAAGACAGAGAGGCAAACAGCTAACTACAGAGCCAGCAGTGAGGCCTTCACCAGACAGAAGGCCTGCAGCAGCACTTCATCTTGGGCTTCTCAATCTTCAAATTGTGAGGAACACATGTGTGTGTGTGTGTGTGCGCGCGCGCGTGCGCGTGTGCGTGTACGTTTGTGTTGGCACTGGAGCTTCACCTCAGGGTTAGGGGCACTCAGCTCAAGGCTGGTGCTCTACCACATGAGTCACACCTCTCATCCAGCATGGGTGTTTTTGTTTGGTTTGGTTTTATTTTGTTGGTGGTGGTGGTTAATTGCAGATAGGGTCCCAAGGACTTTTCTACTCAGGCTGACTTGGAACCTCGATCCTTCAATGGACTGCAGGTCTGACTGAGTCGGGGTGTAGAGCCTGCCCTTTGCTTTTTTATTTCTTTGTGTCCCTTGACCAAAGTGCAATATCCAGAGCTCAAGGAGTTTTTGTCTGCTCTCAACAGTCTTCTCTTGATACTGTCAAAACTCAATCATTTATTGTGCACACACAACAGAAACTTTCAAATGTTTTATGTAGAAGCATTTGAACACTCTTTTAAGCGAGAAACCTGCTGTTTAGAAAACTGCCTACCATATTCATCCTGATGAAAATTGATTTTAAAATATAAAGCAATGAGAAAGGAATATCTGGGTGGGAATAGCAATGTCCTAAATAAAAAGACATAAAAAATCTAGCTGGGAAGAAGTGAGCATATAAAACCAAATGTCATGAAACAGTTCCTGGAATGAAATAAAGTTATGTGCAGGAACAGCAGGATTTAGACTAAAATATAGCTGCTAAGTGCTGTGTTGTTGTTCCCCCTGCTTAAATTAAGGTTGTTTCTTAACTATACCTGTCTGCTATACCTCTGTAGCAGCCAGGGATGCTTGGTCTCACACATGTTGTGAAAAAAAAAAAAAAAGTTATGTGCAGGAAAAAAATCAAGAAAGGAAAAAAAAAGTAGATTCTCCTAAAGCTAAACAATGAAAGATAAGATGTGCAAAGTCTAGGCTAAAGTCTAAAACTACGTGAATACATGAGAAGGAGTGGTCAACTGAGTGTATACCCAGATAACATGCCTGCAAGAATCTCCCCAGCAGTACTCTTGACTAGAAGTGGAACCTGGGGTCACAGGTACTAGCACATGCTCCTCAGCAATGGCATTCAGTAATGGCACTTCATCCTTTATCATTACAGGCAGCAGACCTGTTACAAAAAATGTGCAGGATCTGGTTTGAAACTATTCTTAACCCAAACAGCCCTACCATTCTCTCAGGCCATGGGAATGATGAAACCCCCTGGTACACCTTCTGATAGTCTTTGATGTTCGTAAGTAAGAATGAGCTCACATATACTTGTTAGTTAAATCTTCAAAGTCATGATTAAATATCAACTCATCTCTTTAAAAAACTAAGTTAAAAAAAAAACCCCTAGGTCTTAGAAATGTGGAGACCTGAGCAAAGCAAAGGTGCCATAGATCCTTTGGGGGAAATGGCCCTAATGTGCTGTTTTCTTTTATACCTACTGCATTATTTCTCATATAAATAGAGTATAGTGTATAGGACATATTTACAGAGCCTAACAACAGATGATAAGGAGCTCAAAGTTTATATGATACGGAAGGAAATTTCATTTGACTTCTAACCAATTAGCCATGTAGTTGAAGAGACTCCATGTTTCCAGGTTTCCACCAGGTTTCCACGCCGCCTGTAATTCTAATTCTCTAAAAGCATTTCCACATACTCAGTGCTCCACTCTGGGTTCTACCTCTAATGCACTTCTGTCTTTTTACTTTAAAAGCCCTTTGGACTGGATCCCTAGACAGAACGGCGTGAGTTTCACTGCTCACAGTGGCAAATAGCGCAGCTATGCATTTGCTCTTCACTAATATCTTCCTGATAAAACTGAAGCTATCAAGTAGAAATAAAAACTAAATTCCTAGTCAGGCTCCAATGACTCACGCTGGTAATACTGAAATCAGGAGACTGAGATCTGAGGATCAAGGTTCAAAGCCAGCCTAGGCAGGAAAGTCTGTGAGACTCTCATCTCCAATAAACTACCAAAAAGCCAGAAGTGGAGCTGTGGCTCAAGTGCTAGAGCACTAGCCTTGAGCAAAAGAAGCTCAGGAATAGCACCCAGGCCCTGAGTTCAAGCCCCAGAACTAGTACACAAAACATTAAATAGAAATCAATTGTTGAATTAAAATAAAGCTCTGGGTTCAAGCCCTAGTACTGGTTTAATGTTTCCAAATCTTTCCAACAAGATGGAGTGTCCAATTTTTTCAAATCACCAGACCAACAGAGAGAAGTCTTACTGAATAAGTACTTCTTTACTTCTCTCCATAAATAACGCAGATGCCAAATCTAAGCCCTCAGGCTGAAATGCGTATGAGTCGTCCAAACCAAATGGTGATACAGGTTGACTAGCGATCATCTGCACATCTATACACATGACAGAACTCCCTAAAGATGCTAATGAAAGGACAGAGTGGTTCTCAGTGAAGCAAAAAGCCAGCATTACAAAATTAATTTTCAGTCCTGTCTTTCTTTGATTCCTTAACTCTGAGGTAATAGGAAAATGTAGCATATAAAAATTAGACAATATAGCCAGGTGATGGTAGCTCATGCCTGTAATTGTAGCTGTTGAGGAATGAGATCTGAAGATCTTGGTTCAAAGACCATCTGGGCAGGAAAGTCTGTGAGATTCTTATCTCCAATTAAGCAGAAAAACAGCTGGAAGTGGAGCTGTGGATCATGTGGTAGAGCACTAGCCTTGAGCACAAAAGCTTAGGGACAATGCCCAGGCCCTGAGTTCTAGCTCCAGGACTGGCAAGGATGGTTCCCTTAAAGTCTTCTTAGACCATTTTGTGATTCCACTGCAGCAGCATTTACACTTCTGGTTTGGGTGCTGTGTTCATCAGGTCTGACAACTTCGGGGGGGGGCTGGCACTGTGCTATTCTGTCTTGTGCCAGGACAGAGGGGGCCTCAAGAAGTTTCAAATACACAAAGGAATAGATCAATACATTCATTCAGTTCTATAGTTTGCTCCACTTCAAATGACTAATCACACAAAAGACAAATTTCACACTACAATTATGTATGCAGTAGCACAAAAAATACAAATGAGTTGAAATTGTCCCTATAATTATTAAGATTTCCACTAGAAAATCTTATAATTAAGCTAATTTACTATTGACAGCTGTTTAAATGTATAGGACTTGAATTCAGGGCCTCAAGCTCTTGCTCAGCATTATTTCTCCCAGCTGGTACTCTACCACTCAAGCCACATCTCCAGTCCTACGCCTTGAACTCAGGGCCTGAGTGTTGTCCCTGAGCTATTTTGCTCAAGTACAGTGCTCTACTACTTGAGCCACAGCTCCACTTTTGGCTTTTGGTGTTTAATCGGAGATACGAGTCTCACAGACTTTCTTGCCAGGGCTGGCTTTGAGCCATGATCCTCAGATCTCAGCCTCCTGAGTAGCTTGTATAACAGATGTCAGCCACCAGCACCTGGGTTATTAATAGCTTTTTAAGTCGACTTTGAACCAGATTCGAAATCCTCTTTGGTCCACCAAATGACACATGGCATGCATAGCTCAGCATCGGCGGCAGGGCTCACTTGGATGTGACTGCACCTTCACCCTGAGCAGATGCTCAGTGCCGACAGGCCATTCCTTGTCGCAAGCCTCCACTAGTGTGTGTGTGTGGTATATGATAGGCTGTTAACAAGCCACACACTCCACCAGCAAATGTGAATGCAGAGCTATGTAGTAAGGGCAGCTGAGAATATGACCTTACTGCAGGTCCAAGGGTGAGACACAAGTAGACTTTACTTAACACTGTGATTCTGAGCAGGTACTTAATGATATGCTTAGTGTTTCAAAAGAGACTCTTCTCAACCTTTGTTCTGTGAAATAGGAGTAATCAAACATGTACTGAACGTATAGGAGGTATTATGTGTGTCTCATTGGATTGTTGAGAAAATTAAATGAGACCAAAAATTGTTGTATCCTCTGTAAATTACAGTGTTGTATAAATGTTTGGGTCACCAGTCTGTTTGAAAATTAAGTGATTAGTGTGGAAGTGCCAAGAAAATGCTAAACTTCTATTCTTTATATCCTGGTAGTATCTGAAAATCTCTGAGTTTAAGAATGTGTGCATGGGGCTGGGAAGGTGGCTCAGTGGTAGAGCGCTTGCCTTGCATGCCTGAGGCCCTGGGTTCAATTCCTCAGCACCACATAAGCAAAAAGAAAAAAGCTGGAAGTGGCGCTGTGGCTCAAGTGGTAGAGCGCTAGCCTTGAGCTAAAGAGCTGAGGGACAGCGCCCAGACCCAGAATTCAGGCCCCACGACCGGACCCAAAAAAAAAATTTTTTTTTTTAAAAAAGAATGTGTGCATTGCTGGGCACTGGTGGTACACGACTGTAATCCCAGCTACTCAGGAAGCTGAGATTTGAGGATGGAAGTTCAAAGCCAGTCTTGGGTGTGAAAGACCATGAGACTCATCTCCAAGGAACTACAAAAAGCTGGAAGTGGAAGAGTGGCTCAAGTGACAGAGAACCAGCTTTGAGTGAAAAAGCCAAGCAAGAGCTTGCTGCCAAGTTCAAACATCAGTACAGTCATGCATACACACACACACACACACACACACACACACACACACACACACAAATATATGAGTTCCTTTGCTTATCTTCCCTCTTCAGTGCAAGAGATTTTGGTGCCATTTACCTTCTACATTCTCTTTTCCTACTCACCCGTTCAAGCTTCCCCCCCCTCGCCCCCAATCACTCCTATGGTGGTGAACACTTGTAGATACGTGTAAGTATTTCATATGTGCATACTTGCATATGTGTTTATCTTTGCATAACTTCTCAGTGGAGCACCCCACATGAGAGGCCTCAAGCACCCTGGTCCTTCTGGGCCCGCCTGACTTCGCTCAGTAGATCACCTCCAGACCCACCTGTTCCCCTGAGCGAGGGTGAAGGTGTCGCATGGGGCCTGATCCACTCATCTACTGGGGAATATGCGGGCTGCCCCCATCACCTGGCTATGGTGAATAGTCCTGCGCTGCACATGGCTGTGCCAGCTGTACGCAACTCCCATTAGAAACTTTTAAGAAGAACTTTAGCAGTTTAGCTCCCACCCAGAGACTCAACCCAAGGCTTACAGAATTACCTACGGACCCTCCAGGAATGCTTGGACATAGTCAACTTTCCAGCAACTCCACAAAGTTGAGTGTTTTCTTCCATTATAAATGAAGGGCATCAACAAGAAAAATAGTTAACAGCAGTTATTACATCTTTGCATTAGGATAAAAATCTTGATCACCATTACATTGGTAACAAATATCGTAACCTATCATTCACGTTCATCACCACCTTGAAAGTTCAGTAATTTCTACCCATAATAAGGGTTGGGATTGTTTTGTCTGGTTTTGTTTCTAAGCAGAGAGGCTATAAATGTGAGCAAGCTTCATTCTGATGTCTTTAAAGAATAAAATCTTGAGCCAGACTTGACGATGCCTACGATCCCAGCTGCTCAAGAGATGGAGGCAGGAGGGGAAGCTCTTGTGCCCAGCAGTGCAGACACATCTGAACAACACAAAAAGACACCAGCTCCAGAAAAAAAAATTAAATTACCCACATTTATCATTAGAGTTAAGTATATTCTCCTGGTACATAAGTTTGGAATGAACTCCTATAACATCATATTTTTTTAATATTTGGATATCTGTGTTTTATCATCACTAGTTTCCTTTGTAAAGTTATGTACACTATTTATTTAAAATTATTGCTTTAGCTGGGCACTGATGTCTTATGCCTGAAATCCTAGCTACTCAGGAGGTTGAAATCTGAGGATTGTGGTTCAAAGCCAGCCCAGGCAGGAAAGTCCATGAGACTCTTTATCTCTAATTAACCACCGAAAAGCCAGGAGAAGAGCTGTGTAGTAGTAAAGCACCATCCTTGAGCAAAAAAGTTTAAGGACAAAGCCCAGGCCCTGAATTCAAGGCCCGGTACTGGCACTGGCACACACACACACACACACACACACACACACACACACACACACACACACACACACACACACACACACACGTTGCTTTAGAGAATGTACAGACGTCAACAAATTACCAAAAGGCCCTGTGGTACCGAGTTGAGATCATCAGCACAAAGCTATTTAGCCTTTGTCCACCTATACCTCAGTATGTGAATGTCCAGAGTCCTATATAATTCATCATGTCCTAATGTGTGTGCAAATATATATATATATATATGTACATATATATATATATATCATAATCCAGTGTGTTTACTTAGAGATTTATAGGCAATTCTAGTTAGCATAAAAGAGGGAAACCATGCAGCCTATGTTTCTTTGGCTCTGGCTTACTTCACTTTATATAACTTTTTCCAAGTATGAACTCCAACTAACTCTTGTTAGTTGGTGTGTATTGGGAGGGCGAGGGAGGCCACATAAATGCTGGAACGGGATGAACAAACGCAACAGTGATACTCACCAGACACCATGTGGAACATGAACTGGGTATCTTGTGGGTGGGGATGGGAGGGAAAAGCCAGGAGAGGATAATGGAAGGGGAGACATGGTTCAAAAAGAATTGTACTTAATCACTCATTACCTGATTCATGTAAGTGTAACCCCTCTGTATATCAATCCTGCAATTATGAGCTTTTTTTAAAAAATGAGTTGAGAATGGTTGCCATGGGCTATGCTCAGGATGAACAGGGACGAACAGGGACATAGACCAAGACTTGATATACCGGAAATGCCACCGAGGGCTTTCCTGACTCTGCCATACCAGAGATGGCTAGAAATGTTTCCTGACTTTTCCAGGGCGGGTTGTGAGACTCCCTAGACTGGCCTGAGTTATGCAAAAAGTAGTAACATCTAGATTTATGGAGGTTCACTACAGGGGCCAGTGGCTCACACTTGTAATCCCAGCTGCTCAGGAAGCTGAGATCTGAGGATCACAGTTCAATGTCAGCCTAGGCAGAAAAGTCCCATGAGAATTTTATCTACAATGAATCACTAGAAAGCCAGGAGTGGAGCTGGAAATCAACTGGTAGAGTTCTAGCCTTGAGCCATAAAGCTCAGGGATAGCACCCAGGCCCTGAGTTCAACCAGCACTAAGAAAAAAAAAGAACAGATTATTATTATTGTTGTTGTTGTTGTTCTTACAGAAATATTGGCTCACATTATTATGGAGGCTAAGGAAACACAACTGAGCTGAGCACTAGTGGCTCACGCCTGTAATCCTATCTATTCGGGAGGCTGAGATCTGCGAATCACAGTTCAAAGCCAGCCTGGACAGAAAAGTCTAGTGAGACTCCACTAGAAACCACTTAAAAACCAGAAGCAGTGCTGTGGCTCAAAGTGGTAGAGTGCTAGCCTTGGCAAAAAAAAAAAAACAGCACAGGGACAGTGTCCAGGCCCTGAGTTCAAGTCCAGCAAAAAAAAAGAAGTCCCAACTGTTGTCTGCTGTTGGCAGGCTGGAGATGTAGACGAGCCGATGGACTAGCTCTGCTCTGAAATCCAGCAGCTCAGGGCCCAGAAAGAGCAGCTCAGAAACAGACAGAAGGAAATTGCTCTTCTTTCATCTTGTTTTCTCTTCAGGTCTTCAAATGACTAGGTGAGGCCCATCCACATTAGGAAGGACAATTGTTTTCCTAACTCAAATGTCATGTAGAGTTCTCTCACTCAGAATACCCTCAATCCAGAACACCCTTAATCCAGAACACCCTCACCCACAATACTCTCAATCCAGAATACCCTCACCCAGAACACCCTCAATCCAGAATACTCTCAATCCAGAACAGCCTCACCCACAATACCCTCACCTAGAACATCCTCACAAAGAACACCCTCATCCAGAATACACTCATCCACAACACCCTCACAATCAAGAATATCCTCGTCCAGAAAACTACCCTCACTCACAATACCCTCAATCTAGAACGCCCTCAATCCAGAACGCCCTCACCCACAATACCCTCACACAGAGCACCCTTATCCAGAATACTCTCAATCCGAAATACCCTTGCCCAGAACACCCTCAATCCAGAACACCCTAATCCAGAACACTCTCACAGACACTCTCAGTGTTGTCTGACCCAATGTTTGGGCACCCCATGGCCCAGTCTAGTGGATACATAATACACTGTCACATTGTTCACAAAATACTTTTTAACAAGTCTGTTGAGTAAATGCTTACAATGTTTCCGGGCCCTTTCACACGGCCTGCCAGACTGAAAGGGACAGTTGATGAATAACTGAAATAACTGTGACAAGCGAATGGAGAGAAAAGGAACAGGCTAAGCACTAAGCTAGAGGGGTGAGGGAAGCACTCCCTGAGCTGAGATGGTTGGACACGGAGTTGGGGTGAAGGCTGCTGTGGGGTGCAGGCACAGCCTGGCATAGGCACTGACGCAGAGGCCTGGCTTCTTGGACCAAAGCCCAGGGAAGGAAACCTGTCCAGCTGTGGGAACAATGGCTCAGGGCACAGGACACAACAGTGGTCAATATTCTCCACATTTTCACATCTTCTATCCTTATATCGGAATCTATAATGGGTTTGGGGTTTTTTGTTTGATTTTGGCACTGATCCTGAGGGTCAGGGCACTGTCCCCGAGTTAATTTTTGTTGGTCATGCGGCTTGAACTCAGGGCCTGGGACTTGTTCCTGAGCTCTTTTTCCTCAAGGCCAGCACCATACCACTTTCTGAGTCACCGCACCACTTCCGGTTTTCTGGTGGTTCATTGGTGATAAGAGTCTCATGGACTTTCCTGCCCGGGCTGGCTTTGAACTGCATCCTCAGATCTCAGTCTCCCGAGTAGCTGGGATTGCAGGTGTGAGCCACTGGCACCCGGCCTTCTGTTTTATGATGCGCTATTTTTGAGACAGCACCTGGTTCCACCTACATGCCTGCTTGAGTTGTGGTGCAACTCTTGGGGCTTCCTATTGTTGCCAGATGGTGGACAACGTGTACTACTGTATCCAGAGTCCTCCATGGATATACAGTCTCTCAGACATTTCTGTGCAGGGTGGCCTGGAACCTTGATCCTCCCAATCCCAGCCTCCCATATTATTTGGGACCACAAATGTGTAGCACTATGTGTGCTATGGGTCTTGTGAACTTTTCTGCCCAACCTGGCCTTGAACTGTGATCCTCTAGTTCTTAAGCTTCTCAAGTTACAGACGAGAGCCAAGAGAGTCTGGCTGGACAGGTTTCTTAGTCACAGACATTTGCTTGTATTTTGTGAAAAAAACAGAATATATTCTTATTAATAAATGAATTATTGTCATTTATATGTGTTGGTATGACCAATATCTGATCATACTTGTGTCATTATTATATCACATATAAAAGTAGAATATAAGCAATATCTTGAACCTATAAGAAATTTTTTTTGGGGGGGGTCCAGTCGTGGGGCCTGAACTCTGGGCCTGGGCGCTGTCCCTCAGCTCTTCAGCTCAAGGCTAGCACTCTACCACTTGAGCCACAGC